GGAATATTTATGAGGTGGGGTTAAGAAAACTGGGTGAGGAATAGAGTTGTGGTGATCCAGCTCTTGTAGTAACCAGTTGATTGGGAAAAGACTAAAGTAGCAGACACCTGTACAACCAGGAGGCTCTGGACTTGGGGTCTGGATGAAGATGAGTCTCCTTCTCCTTTCCAGGTGTCAGATGGGTATAGGAGGGGCTTCACATTTATCAGGCACTAAACCCATTAACAAGAGGGGGAGCAAGTTCTGGTACCAAAATCTTGGTAAGAATCTCAGTACCCTACTTTTCAGCAGCTTGGGGGTAATTGCTGTGATTCTTACCAGAACAGTAATCATGGAGCTTACTAGTGGGTTCATCTTTAGTACCAGCCTATGGCAGGTAGACTTACTCCTCTGACAAGCAGCTGTCTGGTAAATTGTCATGCCCTTACTAATAATAACTGCTGTTACTGCTCAGGAAAAAAGAAAAATATTCATATGCAAACCAATTCCATGAAACCCATTTAAGGTAATCTCAGTATCAGAATGAATTTAAAAGTCTTCCATTTGGGAAAACCTGACATTTTTATAAGGCATTAACATTACTGGAGAGATGTTGGATCATGCACTATAAACCTTTGCTGAAGTTTAATTTAAGTAACAATTATATTATTTCCTAGCTTTCAAATTTAAGCAGGTGAGAGATTATAGCAGGAGATCTGTATTATATGTGCAAAATGCCACTGGCAAAGACATTCTTGCATCATAAATATGAATAATTCCTACCACCCACCTAAAATCTATAAACGTATTAACATACAAATGTAAAACCTACAAACCTCAAAGAAAATAAAGCAAATCTGGCAGGGAGAGAAGAGTATAGGTTTCACTTTATCTATTGGAATGTGGGCAAAACTCGGGGGGGAATTATTGACAGCCACATAACTCTGCCTTTAATCTTTATGTACTGTGTTATGAACAGTTGTGTGGATTCTACAATTGGTATATTTTCATTCTCCTTCTTTTTTGTTGAATGATAGCTATTCTGTTAAGCTCTTGCATGCGATTTCTGGGCAAATATAGTACAAAGGTTTATATCACTAGACTAAATATATTGCAGTCTCTATGTATTGCCTCACTATGTTATTGTTTGTTTCTCAAGCACAACCACTCAGTGATGCTTTCAGTTGTCTGTGGCTTTGTGCTAACCATTCATGCCATAATTCTTAGTCCTCCCCTAAAGATGATCTAGTTGAAAAGTAAATGTATGTGAGTTACTAATGTTGCAGTCCTTTTCTTACATGCCTGATGGATCAGCTTAAAGTTCTTCTTTCCTTTCTGTATTTGTGCAGTAGCACAATATATTCTTAATTTTAGCACATACCATGTTGCTAGTTGAAATGTGTTGCAAATTGTATGAATTTACACTGCAGGTTTTGCAAAGTATTTATACAGAAATTGTTCTGTTTCCCAGTATTGCAGAGATTAATGAGCTTCACCACAAAGATCCAGTGATAGTTAGGCAATGGTACTTTACACACCACGCTCACCTCAAGGAGGGTGGCTAGTGTCTCAGTAATCAGAGTAACTGAGAGAGAATTCAGATATGTACATATTCAAAACCTGCCGTTTTATTAATGTCATCTAGTCATGATTTTTAAAAGGTGATCATTTACACCCATCAGCTAATATAGGGGTTCCCAAACTTGGTTCGTGGCTTGTTCAGGGTAAGCCCTGGGGCCACGAGACACTTTGTTTACCTGAGCGTCTGCAGGTACGGCCGCTCGTAGCTCCCAGTGGACGCGGTTCGCCGTTCCCGACCAATGGGAGCTGCGAGCGGCCGTACCTGCGGACGCTCAGGTAAACAAAGCGTCTTGCGGCCCGCCAGGGGCTTCCCTGAGCAAGCCGCGAACCAAGTTTGGGAACCCCTGAGCTAATACAATTAAAATAATGTCAAATCTGTTATGTGGTGGAAAAAGTCACATTGCATAGGTTGAATTCTAAAATACTATACAAGTCTACTAAGTGGGGTGGCGTAGTGTTCCCTAATTCGGTTTATTATTATTATATACATCACAATTAAAAGATGTGATGAGTTGGGTTAACAATAGACCATCCAAACACTGGATAAAATTCAATCAAGACTGGAGCTCAAATATAGCTATTCACAGAAATTGTTGGGTTAAAAAGAAATTTAGGTCACCATAAAATGTCACTCACTCATCCAGCCCACATTAGCAGCTTTGGACAAATTTTCTAAATTCCTGTCACCAAGACCCTCTCCCTTAGCTACTTTAATTAATAATTAGGAAATTATTCCTAGAAAATATCAACATGACTATCTATTGTGGGTAAGAGCTTGAGTTGAATAATCTCAGATGTTTCTGGGTCCTGATTACATACCAATGGGTATGTAATAATGTAAATAATATAAAGATTAGGTATTTACAAGTCATTTTTACTGTGAAACCTGGATATGAGGTGGCTCTATCTAGACCTTTATCCACTTTTGTGGAGTTGACCCAGGAGAAAGGTGGAAAAGGTTTAAATATCCAAGATATATACAATTTTGATTTTAAAAAGATGTGAAGAAAACAACCCAGATGAAAAGATGGGAGAGGGATTAGGGCAAAGATCTCTATTTGGGAAAGGGGATATACCTCTTCAAATTGTATAGCTAATAATTTTTTAAAAATAAATTACTATAAAGATGGCGTTTAGCTCCAGTGAAGATCCATCATATTTTTGCTACTAGGGTGGCACTCTGATGGAGTGATTATGGGGAAAGGATAACATACTTGCACATGTAGTGCTTGTCAGGGAATTAGATGGTTTGGGCAGGGAATTATTAGAGATTCATCTTATAACAAAATGCTAGCTTGTTAGAGATCTTTTTTGTTAGCAGCTAGACTCTGTATTGCACATTATTGGAAATGTGACCCATTCTCTTAGGAACAGTAGTATAGAAAAATATGGACAGTCTAATAATGAAAAAGCTTTCACACCAAGTATGTACACAAGAAAAGTGCCAAAAATGGGATAGGTGTCTAGAAATTTGGTCACCCTTTCTAGTGCACTCAGGAGGGAGGCTTCCCGTCAGCAGGCCAGAATCTTTATCCAGGATCTTTGAATATTAACTGGAGCCTGAATAAGTAATGTATGGTGTAGTATGTTAACGTTTTATTGTAACTTTGCCATAATAAAATGTTTTTAAAAATGTTTCATGTTTCTGCATGTGCCATTCTGTTGTAATTAATGGCTGCAATACCATACACAAAGGAACCTGTAGTTCATGGAGAAAGTGGTAATGAGATGATCAGAGATGGACCAGACCTTCTGATAGGGAGGTCAGTGGAGGAGGGGGAAGGAAACAGGAGCCACCGGGAGTTGAAAGGAAATGAAGAAATTACAGGAGGAACAATCATCAACTTAAAGATGGGGTGGAGAAGGAAGCACAGTAGGAGCCAACGTAGAGTTGTGATACAGGGAGGGAAGCACAGAGGGAACTAGTGGAAGAGTTGGAAGGAATGTGAGTCTTTTAGAATCTTCTAGGTAAGAGCTGGATCTTGGACTCGTATCCATTACTGCTGTTTAAATTTTTTTTTTTTATTTGTGCAATACATTCATTTGGAAGTTATAGTTGACTACCCAGTTGTTCCAGGATTGCTTTAGTGGTTTAAGATGTCACCATAACCATTGATGAGATCATAGTGCTAGATTCAGAATTGCTTGTTTCTTCTATAAAAATCTAAACTACAAGAAGTGCCCTTTATTCATGTGTAGGCTGATACTGAGTATTTGATTTAATTTTCCTTTGACCTTCAATGGAGGATTTTTCTTGATAACACTGGAATTTAAAAACCTCCACAGCAATCTTTCCTGTACTTTGATTAAGATAGTTAATTGTTAATCATAATGTACAGTTAAACAATATTTGTAGATTATTCTGTATAGATTAGAGAAATGATTAACTACAATATTAAAACAGAATTAGATATCAGGAATGCTTGCTGTGAATTGCTAATATGCTATGTAAATCTTGTAAATATTTGAACTCGTAACACCAAAAACAAACAAATAAATAAATAAAGCTAAAACCAGGTATACAAGCCTGTACCATATCAAATGTAAGGAATGTGCAAATGGAGGATATGTTATAAAGATGAAAATGTAATAGACTATGAACAACAACATAGTAGTTAAGAAACTTTTATAGTTAGTGATCAGCCAATAAAATGTTTGAGGCCCAATTATTTCACTTCTACTTACAGTTATTTACAGCTTTCTCTTTAATTACCCCTGCTTTAGCCTTCTCACTTTTAAGATTCTGCAGTGATGCACCTACCTCCTTGGTCTAGAAGGACTAAATAAGACACCTTTCAAATTTTATTAACACTATTCCTTAGCTGAATCAACAAGTTTATTACCTTCTCTCTGTGGTGTGAGTGCAGTACTCCCCAAGCATCTTTAGTCCCTGAATACAACTGGTATCAGGAATCTAACTTAATAGATGCTCTGATGTAAAGGCCAATTATTATGCGTTTACCAGAACTTCTTAAATCCCCTTGCATTTGTGATATTTCTCTTTTTGTCTACAAGAGTATTTGTAGTGGCAGAAAGATGGTTGTGCCTTTGAAGTGACACTCTCAGGTTAAAAATCATATTTAGTTTTTACCACTTATGTTGTTTTGCTTGCTTTTTTATTTTTGCATTTCTGTCAGCTTGGATGATGAAAATAGAGTATTCAATTTCTAATAATTTTTAAGTTCTCATGCTAGCATAACCCTTCATTGTTTGGGTTGTAGGTTTTAGATTTTTTTTTTTTAATTGTGGATATATTGCTGTTAGACTTAGTTTGTAAAAGCTTGTTCTCACAAAACCAAAATGTTAGCCCAAATTTGATTTGAGAAAAAATGCTTTTTTTAAATGGATGCTGTCTTTAACAAACTTGTCAAATATATATATATATATTAAGGAAAAAAATCATGAAATTTCTAAATTGGCTGTTTTGTTAAATTATTTAGGATTCAACAGTTAATGAAAAATTCATGCAAGAGTACAGATAAAGAAGAAAAATCTAACCATTAAAGAAATGGCAGGATTCCTAGACAATTTCCGATGGCCAGAGTGTGAGTGTATTGACTGGAGTGAAAGAAGAAATGCAGTTGCTTCAGTGGTTGCAGGTGTACTGGTAAGTATTCAGACTACACAAATGAATCCAGATTTGTCATCTTCTTATTTAATGTGGCATTAATACTTCATTTAGTATTAATCTTTGAAAATAAAACGTTCCTAAATCAAATTTTGTTAACTTGCAGTGCTAACTGCATTCTTAAACCGATATATTTCTTCATATTTTTCAAGTTTGTTTAGGAAAACCTTTGCAGTTCACCTGGATGTGTACACTATGTTTGAATTTGATGTTCCGATACTACTTTTTCTTTTTCCGGTATTGATTTTCTTTTAAAAAGTGTTAAATTGTTGGAAGGTATGTATTCACTTTCAGAGACCTTCATGGCCCTATCCCCACCCTACCTATTAAATCTAATGTAGTATTGAAAGGTAGACTCCTGCCTCTGATCAGCCCATGGTGCCAGCTGCCATCGCCTACTTGTTGACTTTTCAAACAAGCACCTTCATGCTTTCTCCCATTTTGCCCCTTACACTTGGGAGAAGCTCCCTATAAACATCCGCAAAACTAACTCATTATCCTCCTCCAAATCTGTCCATAAAACTCTCCTTTGCTGTGAGGCCTACAGAATACTTGACAACGGCTAGACCGTTTGTGTGCTGAGAGCACAGCCCATCATACTGACCAGTATTGTTTCCTCGTATTCCCCCTTTGGTCGGTCGGTCTGTCTCCATCTGTTGTCTCTTGTCTTATACTTAGCATCATAAGCTTGTTGGGGCAAGGCCTTGTTTTTTGTTCTGTGTTAGTACGTCATCTAGTGCAGGGGTAGGCAACCTATGGCACGTGTGCCAAAGGCGGCACGCAAGCTGATTTTCAGTGGCACTCACGCTGCCCGGATCCTGGCCACCGGTCCGGGGGGCTCTGCATTTTAATTTAATCAAAGCTTCTTAAACATTTTAAAAACCTTATTTACTTTACATACAACAATAGTTTAGTTATATATTATAGACTTATAGAAAGAGACCTTCTAAAAACATTAACATGTATTACTGGCACGCGAAACCTTAAATTAGAGTGACTAAATGAAGACTCGGCACACCACTTCTGAAAGGTTGCCGACCCCTGATCTAGTATAAGGGGGTCCTGGTCCATGACTAGACTCCTACGTGATATGTGTGTGTGTCTGGCATAACAAGGTATGTTACAGCACTTACATTTTACCTGGCTAAATCATTCATATATTGGGAACATATGTTCAAGTTTTTAAGGCAATGAAGGTAATCTAGCCATACCTTTTTCTTTAATTTTAATAGAAGATCTATGGCTAAATCCCAAACACTGCTTTGAAAATGTCAGCAGTAAGGGTTTTTTTCAGCTTTACTGGATTACAGAATATACATGTCAGCAAACTTTTTTAAGAGCGTATTTGTGAAAAGAAGAAATTAAGTTAGCAATATGCATGAAGTGTTAGACAAAGAAAACATGCTGAGAGTTTATCTTCAGACCCCTCCAGCTTCATAATACTGTGTGATGGTCTCATTGTTTCTCTAGTTTTTCACAGGCTGGTGGATAATGATAGATGCTGCAGTAGTTTATCCTAAACCAGAACAAATGAACCATGCATTCCACACCTGTGGAGTGTTTTCCACATTAGCCTTTTTCATGTAAGTATGCTAATGATAATTCTGTATTTAAAAAGGTACTTACTTCCTGTAAATGCATAGATGCATAATTTTACAGAGTGGAAAATTTAACCAGCATTCTCTCTCTCTCTCTCTCTCTCTCTCCATATATATATATATATATATATATAGTCTAAATTTGAACCATCAGCATCATTACTTTTCGCTAATCCACCAGTACCTCCTTTGCGTAATACACAAAAGAAGGCAAAGTTCTTGGTCTCTGCTTCCTTTTCTCTTGGGTAGTTACACGGTTATTTGTTTCTTCTCTCTGCCGCCTTTAAGTTTTATCTTTAAAAATTATATATATCTTGGCTTAATATAAGGCATCATCTTTTCCTTTTATAACAAGTGCTCATATTCCTGGAGAAAAACCTCTGATATATTATGCAATAATACTAACATGAAGCATATTAGGCCAGATTGATCCATGATGTAGCTAACTACTCTTACAGCGCTTTCTCTGGGTCTAAAACTTATTTTGATGACCATTTTTTTTCAGGGTAGCATCAGAGATGAATTTAGACCATTAGTAGTAGTGAGTAGTTGAGTGATTCATGATACTGTCTTCAACACAATCATCCCACAAACCTATTTGGTGTGTCTTTAACTTTAAAAAAAAATGCATTTAACTTAAGCCAGGAATATATTACAGATATTTCAATTATTTTTTAAAAAAGGACACTTAAACAAGGCTCAGATGCTTGTTGCCTTGGAGCAGACCTTGCACCTGAGAGGATACCATGGACTTCACTGAAGCTCTGTGTGGGTGTAGAAATCTGCCCTTGTGGATCCAGTTGCAAGATCTGGTCTAAACAAAGAGTTTACAAACTGTGTGACTGGAAGGGAACGACCAGCCTAGTAACTTTCTCTGAATATTTTTCACATCTCTTAAAAACTTTAATTTTGTTTTTAACCATCATAATTTTCAAATGGCTTTTCTAGTAAAGCTTTAGACTTATAGACTTATGTATTTGAGTTTGTTTTTTGTCCCAGGATAAATGCTGTATCAAATGCACAGGTGAGAGGAGATAGCTACAGTGATGGATGTCTAGGAAGAACAGGTAAATGGTTTATTTAATCAGCATTAAAAGAGCTACATGAAAACAACTGCAGTTTGTAATGAATTTCATGATAACCTCATAGAATTTAGAAAAAATGTTCCTTGCTCATTAACCTCTGAAAAATATTTTTTTTTGCCATTTTTGAGCCTTAGAACATGAATTCTGGATTTCCTACTAAAGATGAGATTCAGGAAATACATATAGCTTGAGTAACTCGCATTTATCTGTGCATCCTGCATGAGCACTGAGGGAGTAAAATCCCAATCCACAACCTGAGATGGGTTGATGAGGCTGCAGTACAGCCACTCTGAATCTTATGCCAGCCTGTGGGTTGGAAAAGGGGCTGCTGCCCCTCCATGCTGTCTGTGTGGGGAGTTTCTGTGGATCCAATGTCCCTCTCTCCTGTTCCACCCCAAACACTTCCATTAGTGCTAGGCTACTTCAAGCCAGCATAAAGCCCATCTAATTGGCCTTGGAGAGTGTAGAAACTCCCTGGCCTGGTCATTGTGTATCATCTGTTTGCTCAGGGCTTCTACATGGAGGTAGAGCTGCTATGGGACTCCTGTGTACAGGTTTTAATTTCACTTTGTACACGTCTATGCATTTTTTTTTTACACAGGGCATGATTTTTTAAAACCAATCCAGCCCCCTCAAACCTTCTATCACCTGTCCATGTACCCACTGACTATTAATATTGGCCTGGAGTGACCCATATATCTGTGCATGGAGGAGATCCTTTGCATATAGCTATTCCCTCTTCCACTTCCACAAGGTACTGTTCTCCCTCCTTCAGAACTTCCAGAGGCTGTTCTGTGTCTGGAGTTCCCATGGGGTGGAGACTGAGTGGGCACGGGACTGTGGCCAGAGGGCTTCACATGATCCCCCTGGAAAAGATAGCACAGCTTAGGGGTTCTGCTATCTTTTCTGTTGGGATTCCTCTCTCACTCCAGGAGTTCCATGGGCTGCAGTGGCCGAGTGAAGTCTCTGGCAACATAGCTCCACTTGGAGATGCATTGCTAGGAGATGAGGAATGCTGTTGGGGCTAGAGCCATTGTGGAGCCACGGGGCCTGTCCACAGATGGCCCTGGACTTTTGTGAATACCTGAGGGATCCCCAGATTTGGTGACAGACCCTATGACCTATTACATCAGGAGAGGCAAATCCTGCCTTACTTTTCTCTGGTGGGATGCTATGGTAGAAATTCTGCAAGGGTATCCTGGTGGAGATTTTTCCCTCCAGAGCCTCCTCCCATGGTCAGGATGGGATGATTTGGGCCACTCTCTTTTATGATACATTATCACCTACTGATCAGAAGATTATTTTTAATGCTTTTAGTATATTTCTTGCAGGTGCTCGCGTCTGGCTCTTTATTGGTTTCATGTTGATGTTCGGTTCACTTATTGCTTCAATGTGGATCCTTTTTGGAGCATATGTTACACAAAGTAAGGCTCCTTCCTTATTACATTTTAATGGAGGGAAGGGGACATTTCCAAAGTGGCAGTGAAAAAAAGTCTACACATACAATGCAAAGTGACCTGTTCCAGTTTGTACTGTTGACCTCAATGGCAAATTCTACCTCCATTACACATGTACCTCTTGTATTGATGTTGTTGTTGAGAGTTTTGCAAGTTCAGAGAATAGAGATCTGGTGAGTAAAGTAAGGAGCCATAGTGCTGCTCAGATTAAGAGAAACTGTAAATGAAATTCTCAGCTTTTTCCTGTACTGATTTTAGTGACTTATTTTGAAGAAGAAACTATATATACATGTGCTGCTATCTAGTCTATAGTCTTGATGCTTGAACTTTAGTCTGTCTACTAACATAAAACTCTCTATCCCTGTGGAACTTCGAATGTCTTTTAAGCATACAAAACCAGTATTTACTTTTCAAGTATTCTAGTGAAGCCTCCATTTCTAAGGGTTTTGTGAAACTTTATTAACCAATTCCTTTTTTAACTAATACACTTATGGTCATTACTCAAGTGCACTGACTAACTCTTATATTTTGCATATGAATAAAACTTTCTCTATCCGATAGGAGGGAAACCCAGAACAGAACAAGTCATGGAATCCTTTGTGGTTCTAACTGCAGACTTTTATAAGAATTTGAACATTTCCATTTATTTGTTGGGACCTAATTTTGTTCTCTTCTTACATGGTCATCCATGTAACATATTGAATTGCAATGGCTATGTTCTAATTTACAATCACTTGTGTAAGTACTAGAAGTGACAGTTGCTATCTACCTTTGGTACTTAAATTAATGGAGATATCCTATCTCCTAGAACTGGAAGGGACCTTGAAAGGTCATCCAGTCCAATCCTCTGCCTTCACTAGCAGGACCAAGTACTGATTTTGCCCCAGATCCCTAAGTGGCCCCCTCAAGGATTGAACTCACAACCCTGGGTTTAGCAGGCCAATGCTCAAACCACTGAGCTATCCCTCCCCCTTATATGGCTTCATTACCATAGCCTCTGGATGCTTCACTGTCTTTAATGTTTTATCCTCACAATACCCCTGTGAGTTAGGGCAGTGCTGTCTTTCACTGTCCATTCCCCTTCAGAGCAATGTATGCTTGGTTTGTGTCAAGATGGTGACTCCATGAATAGTCTCAAATACACTTTTCCAATATGAAGCTACTAAACTTAATATATCTTTCACTTTTATTTTGTAGACACGAATGTGTACCCAGGATTAGCTGTGTTTTTTCAAAATGCATTGATATTTTTTAGGTAAGTTATTTTTCTCTTATGCCTAAGTATTTCAAACCATTGCTGGCATCTATCTTATTCTACCCACAGTCATGTTATGAAGCAGGTAACCTACATGTTTTCATGCCAAACTGAAGTCCATTTCTGTTTTACTCATTAAACATAGTTTCTCTCTACTCACAGGAATACAAAGCGTGTTTGTTTTCATACAATTAAATGCAGTTAGTAAACAAATGTTAAAGGCAGAAGCTAAAGTTTTTTAAGAAGCCTAAATTTGGGCTCCCACATTCATATTTAAGGACTATAATAAGTGGCCTGATTTTTAAGAAGGTTGAGCCACTCCTGTTGACCTTAGTGTAGGCTACTACTCTGTCAGCATCCACAATCAATGTTCACCCTGGCCCATCCCTCACCCTATGGCCCATCCTTACCCCTTCCATACTTGAAAAATGAAATGTGGAGGTCTTTCCTAGTTTTTTTTAAACCTGGTCTCTTCACATTCTAGCTGGTGAAACCCTTCTGACACCTTTGTTAATGAAAACATCTCTAAAATGGGATTTACGTGCCAAATCCTCCTATTCTCAAATATGCAGGTTATGAAAGTCAGTATAAGGTCTCGTCTCTCTCTTCTTCAGCAGAGTCTTGCAAACCTAGAGCTGGCCCAACTGTAACTGATTACTGAATCTGGGCCATTCAAGTCCTGAATCCTCTTTCCAACCATGGTCAGTACCAGAAGCTTCAGATGAAGGTGTGAGAACCCCACAATAGGCAGATGTGGGGGTAATCTGCCCCCCCCCCCAGCTCTCATCCTGGTTTTGAATAGATAATTAGGCTTAAGCCCTGAAGCATGGGGTTTAATATCCCTTCCAAAAGTGCATCATTAATTATGATAACTCTGGATATTCTTGTTATCAATATGTCCTAGTTCCTTTTTGAATCTTCCTAATTTCTTGGCCTCAATGACTTCCTGTGGCAATGAGTTCCAAAGTCTAACTATATACTGTGTGAAAAAGTATTTTATCAGTTTTGAATTTCTCACCTTTTTAATTTCAGTAAAAGTCCCCTTGTACTTGTGTTATGAGACACTGAAAACAGACGTTCCTGATCTATCTTCTCTAGACCATAGTCATCTTTTTTCTAAAATCAACAGTCCTAGTCTTTTCATTCTCTCATCATAGGAGGTTTTTTCCCAGGTCCTTGATCATTTTCATTGCCTCTTTCTGAACCTCTCTAATTCTGCAGTAATCTTTTTGAGATAGGATGACCAGTACCGCACCATTGATATTATGTAAATATTATAGTGATTGCTGTATTATTCTCCATCCCGTTACTTATACAGCCTAATATCGTGTTTGCTTTTTGGACTTCAGCTGCTCATTGAGCTGTCTACAGTGACACTCAGGTCCCTTTCCTGAGTTAATAGTTAATTTAGAGCCCTATCAAAAGTATGAGTAGTTTAATTTTTTCCATTCAGTGTGCATTACTTTGCATTTGTCAACACTGAATTTCATTCATCATCATATTGCCCATTCATCTGGCTCATTTCGGTCTTTCTGAAGTTCCTCTCAGTCTTCTCTGGTCCTGTCTAACCTAAATAACTTTTTGTCGTCTTCCTCATTGCTCACCCCTTTCCAGGTCATTGTTAAAGGTTGAATAACATGGGACCTAGTACAGAACCTTCAGGCATCTGCTATCAACTTTTTGTCATGTGGAAAACTCACATTTATTCCTATTCTGTTTTCTCTGTCCTAGCCATGTTTGAGCCATGACAATGCTTGTCGTCCTCTTGCTCCATGAACGTTTAGCTTTTTTTTAGTAACCTCTTGTGCAGGGACCTTGTAAAAGCATATTTGGACACCTAAATAAATTGTCAGCCAGTTCTCCTTTATGACTTGTCTATTGATGTGTTCAGAGAATGCTAAGAGATTGGAGAGGCACTATTTTCCTTTGCAGAAACTGCTGGTTAGACCCTATCATATCATGATCTTTCACATATTTTGTTCTATTTTTAATTTTCAAGCAGTTTGCCAGTTACACCTGTGAGGTCTACTGCTCTAGAGTTCTGTGGATCACCCCTAGAACTTTTTTTAAAAAATTGGTACATTTACTACGCTCCAGTCCTCAGAGCTGCGGCTGTTAAAAGAGATTGCATGGTGTTGTTAGCTCAGCCACTTCATAGTTAAACTCCACCAGAACTCTTGGATATATAGCCTCTGAGTCTGGTGAGTTATTGCTTAAGGGGATTAAATATATGTAAAAGTAGATTTTCAAATTAAAGATGTTAAAGTGGACTGAGCTAAGATTAGCAAAAGGAGTCTAAATGTACTGTAGCTAAAGAATTCATATTTTACACTTTGTTTCTTTCATCCCAAATTATAAGTGCAAAACTTGAGTTTAAAGTATCCTCTGTTCCTATGTCAAGTGACCTTTTTCCACATTACATGTAAACTTCTGGTTTTTTTTACAGTACTCTGATCTACAAATTTGGAAGAACAGAAGAGTTATGGGGATAATATAATCAAAGTTAGCATTAATTCCATACCCTTTATAGTGTATTCAGTATCTAGACATCTTTGTTTTGTTTGTTTTTACATTTTGCCAAATACTCAGATGTTGCATTAAATATTTTTGTTAATGTTCTTTTGCTTTCTCTAAATTGAATGAACTATGAGATTTTCAAAAATGGTTTGACAGTTTTCTGTAATTAGTTCCCTTTTTTCATAGGACAGATTTGTGAATATGTACATTATATGGCTGTGTATGTATATATCTTAAACCAAATGTTAAATTTTTTTATTTCTGAAGTCTTTATTTCTGCTCTCATACATGAACTTGCAACACCATGTAGGATCTGATCCTGCAAACCCTCACACATGTGAGACCAACTTCAATTGAACTTCTCAAGCAAGTAAGAGTTTGCAGGATCAAGCCCACACTGTATCAAATCAACTATTACTTTTATGCACTGGTGGGCTGTAGCTGATTTTACAAGCTATGCAGCAATGCCTAGTTGGATACTTCAAAGTGTCTCAGCTAAACTTCTGGATAGCTAATAGGAAAAAATCTTGATTAGATCCTGGGCTAAGAGTGAGATTTTAAGAAGAATTTTATATAAAGGTTTGAAAAAGTCAAATACAGAATAGCTTTTGAACTATTTTTAAAAGGTGAAGACTTTTTAACAGGGTCCCATAATAAAGGGACAATTTGAGTGACCAGTTTTATTTTTAATCCTGTCATTATTATAGCACAAACACAATTTAATGACATGATTCTTGTAAAATGAAACACTCATGTCTAGTGTTCAGTAACTTATTGCCATTAGCTATATTTACCATTACATTCAAGAAAAACCTAAATTCATCTGAAACTGATATATTTGAGTATGATGAATACATGAAAGACATTAACTTTTTTAAGTTACATTAATGCAGCTTTTCTTCGGGGATCATTTTGCTGATGAAATATATGTGGCAGGATGACTTTTCCTCATTTTTATGAAAAAAAATTTCATGTATATTTCTTAGATCTAATGAGTACACACTTAGGAAAGAATTGAGTTGAAATGGTTCCATTATTATTGGAGTCCAGTGTGTTCTAACTGGAGAAGACAAAAAGGGAGAATTTGATGTTTTTATATCTATATTGGATGACCTTGTACATGTTCTACAGTTTTGGTTACACGTTTGACATCCTTCTCTTATCAGTTCTACCTATATCTAAAGCATTTAGCATAAAGTGAAGTGAGATTACTTTTTCTCACTCCCAGCTTTTATAATTTTTTTCATATACCATAAGCTTGCTCTACAAATAGTATTAACATAACTTTGACAGCGTGAAAAATATTCCACATGTATGGCAACTAATTTTCCTGCTAATTTGATTTCTTCCCATCGCACTCCTTTCTGGGGATCTTTCGAGTGGGCATATTATGAAGCAAATGCCATAGCTGAGTTGTGCCATTGCCTCGACTGTTACTTCCGACCTGATTTGTCCACCAAACTGCAAGTTCATTCTGAATCGGTTACATTTGATGATGTTAAACTGTGTGAATTGTACATAGCTTATATTTGCTCAATTATAACTTCACTGAAATACAATAAAGGCTTCCTGAGACTAATCTCTTGTTTGTACAGATCTTACATAAAAATTGCCAAACACCACTATACATTATTTAAAAATGTAGTATCCTGTTTCATGACTGAAAAGTATGGCAGAGTGACTTTGCACAAGTCAGCCAATATTAAAACAAGTTATTTTCCAGACCTCTTGGCTTCAAGCTTATCAGACCAAGTAGTTGTAGCATGCCAGAAAAGACGGTTACTCACCGTTGTAACTGTTGTTCTTCGAGATGTGTTGCTCATATCCATTCCAGTTAGGTGTGTGCGCGCCGCGTGCACGATCGTCGGAAGATTTTTACCCTAGCAACACCCGGTGGGTCGGCTGTGGAGCCCCCTAGAGTGGCGCCGTTATGGCGCTGGATATATACCCCAGCCGACCCAGCGCCCCCTCAGTTCCTTCTTGCCGGCTACTCCGACAGTGGGGAAGGGGGGCGGGTTTGGAATGGATATGAGCAACACATCTCGAAGAACAACAGTTACAACGGTGAGTAACCGTCTTTTCTTCTTCGAGTGCTTGCTCATATCCATTCCAGTTAGGTGACTCCCAAGCCCCACCTAGGTGGCGGGGTCGGAGTGAGACATTGCTGTGTGCAGAACCGCTGACCCGAAAGCAGCGTCGTCTCTGGATTGTTGCACCAGCGCATAGTGAGTAGCAAATGTGTGGACCGATGACCACACTGCAGCTCTACAAATGTCCTGGATCGGTACTTGAGCCAGGAAGGCAGTCGAGGAGGCCTGGGCCCTCGTGGAATGAGCGGTGAGGCGTGGCGTCGGTACACCGGCCAGGTCGTAGCAAGCACGAATGCAGGACGTGATCCAAGTGGATAGGCACTGAGAAGAGACCGGTGAGCCTTTCATCCGGTCGGCCACCGCAACGAAGAGTTGCGTCGTCTTCCTAAATGGCTTTGTACGGTCAATATAGAAAGCCAGGGCCCTGCGTACGTCCAAAGAGTGTAAACGCTGGTCTTGACGAGTAGCGTGCGGTTTGGGATGGAAGACCGGGAGGAATATATCCTGGTTCACGTGGAAAGGTGACACCACCTTTGGAAGAAAGGCAGGATGGGGGCGAAGCTGCACCTTGTCCTTATGGAACACCGTGTATGGGGGCTCGGATGTCAGCGCCCTGAGTTCCGAGACGCGCCGTGCTGAGGTGATGGCTACCAGGAAGGCTGTCTTCCAAGATAAGTACAGGAGCGAGCAGGTAGCCAAAGGTTCAAACGGAGGCCCTGTGAGCCTGGAGAGGACGAGGTTGAGGTCCCACGTTGGAACCGGCTGTCGCTGCTGTGGGTATAGCCGGTCTAAGCCCTTGAGGAATCTAACGACCATCGGGTTCGAGAAGACCGAGGACGTGAGTTCCCCTGGGTGGAAAGCGGAAATAGCGGCGAGGTGAACCCTAATTGAGGATGTCGCCAAGCCTTGCTGTCTGAGGGACAGGAGGTATTCCAGTATCAAGGGGATAGGAGCCTGCGAGGGAGACGTAGCTCGTTGCTCACACCAGCAGGAGAACCTCTTCCACTTGGCTAAATAAGTGGTACGCGTAGAGGGCTTTCTACTTCCCAGCAGGACCTGTTGGACGGCCTGCGAGCATTGCCGCTCTGAGCGACTCAACCATGAAGCATCCACGCCGTGAGGTGGAGCGACTGCAGGTCGGGGTGACACAGCCGGCCGTGGTCCTGAGAGATGAGATCCCGACTCAAGGGGAGCGTGATCGGCCTCTGTACTGACAGCTCTAGAAGTGTGGTGTACCAGTGCTGTCTCGGCCAAGCGGGAGCGACCAGAATTACCCGTGCATGGTCCCTGCGGATCTTGAGCAGCACCCTGTGGACCAGCGGGAATGGGGGAAAGGCGTAGAACAGATGGTCTTTCCACGCCATGAGGAAGGCGTCCGACCGAGAGCCCGGGGCTCGTCCGTGTAGGGAGCAGAATGCCTGGCACTTCCTGTTGGCCCGAGATGCGAACAGGTCGATCTGGGGAAACCCCCACCTCTGGAAAACGGAATAGATGATGTCCGGGCGAATCGACCACTCGTGCGTTTGGAAGGACCTGCTGAGACGGTCTGCCAGCGTATTCTGGACTCCAGGCAGGAATGACGCCGTGAGATGTATCGAGTGGGCGATGCAAAAGTCCCACAGGCGAATGGCCTCTTGGCATAGGGGAGATGAGCGGGCTCCGCCTTGCTTGTTGATGTAAAACATGGCCGTGGTGTTGTCGGTGAGAATCAGCACGCAACGGCCCTGTAGGAAGTTGAGGAAAGCCTGACAAGCCAGGCGCACTGCCATCAGCTCTCGGACGTTGATGTGCAGGGCTAGTTGGGACGCCGACCACAGGCCTTGGGTATGATGCTCCCCCAGGTGAGCGCCCCATCCTAGAGATGAAGCGTCCGTAACTAGGTGGAGGGAGGGCTGTGGGGCGTGAAAGGGTACTCCTGCACAGACCGCCGAGCGATCCGTCCACCATGTGAGGGAGGCCAAGACTGCGGTCGGAACCGTGACCACTACGCTCAGGTCGTCTCGATGAGGACGGTAAACCGATGACACCCAAGTCTGCAATGGGCGAAGTCGCAGTCTGGCGTGCCTGGTTACGTAGGTGCACGAGGCCATGTGGCCCAAGAGGGCCAGGCATGTCCTTACGGTGGTAGTTGGAAAGGCCCTGAGTCCTTGAATGGCGCTTGAAATGGTATGAAAGCGGCTGTCTGGCAGGATGGCTCGGGCATGTCTGGAGTCCAGGATTGCTCCAATGAACTCTATTCTTTGAGTTGGTACTAGAGTGGACTTCTCTCTGTTGAGTAGAATGCCCAGCTCGTGGAAAGTGCGTGTCACTATGTGGACATGGGCCTGCACTTGGTCTCTGGTGCGGCCGCGTACCAGCCAGTCGTCCAAGTACGGGAACAGCTGTATCCCTTGTCGACGAAGGAAGGCCGCGACGACTGCCAGACACTTTGTGAACACCCTGGGAGCCGAGGACAAGCCGAAGGGAAGGACTGCGAATTGGTAGTGCACCCTGTTTACTACAAATCGCAGGAAGCGCCTGTGAGGCGGATAAATCGCTATGTGGAAATAAGCGTCCTTCATGTCGAGGGCGGCAAACCAGTCTCCAGGATCCAGTGAAGGGATGATGGTCCCCAATGATACCATGCGGAACTTCAACTTTACTATGAATTTGTTGAGCCCGCGCAAGTCTAAGATGGGCCTTAGACCCCCTTTTGACTTGGGTATCAGGAAGTAGCGGGAGTAAAACCCCCTGCCCCTTAGCTCCGATGGAACCTCCTCTATGGCCCCCATAGCGAGGAGCCCAAAAACCTCCTGTGTAAGGAGTTGCTCGTGAGAAGGGTCCCTGAAGAGGGACGGGGAGGGGGAGTGGGAGGGGGGGGGCGAGGAAAACTGGAGGGCGTATCCCCTTTCCACCGTGCGAAGGACCCAACGGTCCGAGGTTATACGGGACCAAGCACGGTGGAAGCGGGAGAGGCGGTCCCGGAA